TGAAAAAATTAATAAGGAGTCCTAGCTTAGGAGTGATTTAGGTAAGTTCTCAGAGCAACTCTGAGAAGGAAGGGAAAGAAACTGGTGACCTGTTCAGGGTGAACCCTGCCTGTCACCCAGTGTCAGCTGGGATAGGCTCCAGCCCCCGCGACCCCTATCAGGATACGCAGTTATGAAAAAATTAATGATGGAAAGAAGGGGGAAAGGGGTACAGTCAGTGTTGAGTGCATAAGCATAAGTTTGAATTGGTGGATTTGAAGGATGTTATGTTGTCAGACTGTTGAATGTGTGGAGGTAGGGAGTTGCAGAGCCTGGGAGCAGTGCAGCTGAAAGTCCTGGCACCCATGTGGTGCCACAGTAGTCAATAAGGGTTGTGACAAATGCATGGATCAAGACTTCAGTGCTGGACTGGTACAGTGATGGGCGGAGTCTGAGACCTCTACAGAGAGGTTATCAATGATGTGTGGGACTTGGGTGTCTTGGATTTTAGACGGGGTACTTTTTGAGCCAATGAGCAGGGCCGTGGTTTGCTGCCGTTGAGTTTCAAAAAGTTCCTGCTCATCCAACTCCTGGGCCCAATCCCAATACACCCCTTAACCCTACCACTTGCCCCTACCCCTCCGTTTTGCGCGTTCACACATAGGGGTAGGGATGTCCCGATTCTCATTGAGGCAGAGGGGAAGGGCGGAGTGCTAGGGCTATATGGCCCTCCAAACGGAGTTTTTTCAGAGGCACACTTCAAAAGCGAGTGCTACGAGAAATCTCCCAGAATGCCTTGTGAATCACCGGCAAGATGGCAGGGAAGGCTTCAGAGGCAATGAAAGAAAACCATAAATGTAAGTATTTTCTTCATAACTAAAGATTTAAAGACTATGATAACCATCGGAAATGTCGTTTCAATGTATTACATACAGTGCCCTCCAAAAGTATTGGAACAGTGAGGCCAATTCCTTTATTTTTGTTGTAGACTGAAAATATTTGGGTTTGACATCAAAAGATGAATATGGGACAAGAGATCAACATTTCAGCTTTCATTTCCAGGTATTTACATCTGGATCTGATACACAACTTAGAAGATAGCACCTTTTGTTTGAACCCACCCATTTTTCATGAGAGCAAAAGTATTGGAACATGTGACTGACAGGTGTGTTTTGTTGCCCAGGTGTCTCCCAATTACATTGATTATTCAAACAATAAATAGCACTGAATGTCTGAGCTCAGTTTCAGATTGGGTACGATAGGTTTTACCTGTGCAGACTGCATTTAGAGGTGAAACCAACATGAAAACCAGAGAGCTGTCTATGGGTGAAAAAGAAGCAATTGTGAATCTGAAAGAAGATGGACAATCAATCAGAGCCATTGCACAAACATTGGCCATAGCCAGTACAACCATTTGGAATGTCCTGAAGAAGAAAGAAACCACTGGTGTACTAAGCAACAGACGTCGAACAGGTAGACCAAGGAAAACATCAGCAGTTGATGACAGAAACATTGTGAGAGCTGTAAAGAAAGACCCTAAAACAACTGTTAGTGACATCAGCAACAACCTCCAGAGGGCAGGAGTGAAGGTATCACAATCTACTGTTCGCAGAAGACTTCATGAACAAAAGTACAGAGGCTACACCAGAAGATGCAAACCACTCATTAGCAAGAAGAATAGGAAGGCCAGGCTGGAATTTGCCAAAAGGTACAGAGATGAGCCTCAAAAATTCTGGGAAAAAGTTTTATGGACTGATGAGACAAAGATTAACTTTTTCCAAAGTGATGGAAAGGCGAAAGTTTGGAGAAAGAAAGGATTTGCTCATGATCCCAAACATACAAGCTCATCTGTGAAACACGGTGGAGGTAATGTCATGGCTTGGGCTTGCATGGCTTCTTCTGGGACGGGCTCTTTCATCTTCATTGATGATGTAACACATGATGGCAGCAGCAAAATGAACTCTCAAGTCTACAGAAACATTTTGTCTGCTAATTTAAAGAAAGATGCAACCAAACTGATTGGGAGATCCTTCATCATGCAGCAAGATAACGACCCAAAACACACTGCCAAAACAACAAAGGAGTTCATCAGGGGCAAGAAGTGGAAGATTTTAGACTGGCCAAGTCAGTCTCCAGACTTAAACCCAATAGAGCATGCATTTTACCTGCTGAAGAGGAGACTGAAGGGAGTAACCCCCCAAAACAAACAACAACTGAAAGAGGCTGCGGTGAAAGCCTGGAAAAGCATCACAAAAGAATGCAAAAGTTTGGTGATGTCAATGGGTCACAGGCTTGATGCAGTTATTGAAAGCAAAGGATTTGCAACTAAATATTAAGTCTCATTCACTTTAATCTATTTGAAGTTTATATGTTCCAATACTTTTGCTCACCTAAAAATTTTGTGTTCCATTACAAATAATGCTATCTTCTAAGTTGTGTATCAGATCCAGATGTAAATACCTGGAAATAAAAGCTGAAATGTTGATCTCTTGTCTCATATTCATCTTTTGATGTCAAACCCAAATGTTTTCAGTCTACAACAAAAGTAAACGAATTGGACTCACTGTTCCAATACTTCTGGAGGGCACTGTACATTTGTTCTAACAAACATAACAAAAAAAAAAAATCGCTAGTTGTGAGGTTTCCGGGTATGAAGGGTTGTCCCATTTCATAGGGGAATATTTCAACCCCTACCCCTTGTAACTTTGTTGCAAGGGGCACTCGAAAAAGAGGGGTAGGGGTAGGGGCGAAAATGAGAAATGGGATTGGGCCTTGATGTCCTTAAGGCAGGTGGCGATGGAGGTGGGAGGAAGGGCAGTGGAGGGTTCATTTGAGATGTTTATTGTATTATATCGTGTGACGTAAAACTCTTGATTCTGTCTTATAACAGATCTGTAAAACATTTAAAAGAATACTGATTAACTATCTAAAAAGCACACCTTATAAACCCTTCATACTGGCTGACCAAAATTAGCCACACAGCCAAAAAATGGTTGAATAACTTTTTACAAACCAAACAATCCACTCTTTGTTACATTACTGAAACCTTTATTGATGATCATACATGTACGGAACAAGGCCATTATAGTGCAAGTCAACAAGGCGAGGGATTATTACAGGAGTCCTTGGTGAGTAAAATCAGAGACGCTACAAAACTTTAAAACCAGATTTAGCTCTAATTTGGTTGAACCGTGACACATTTTGTAAACTGAGATTCTGAGTAAACTTTAACTTAAGTGACTTTAATACCCTGAACTTAAGACGTGGCCCGAAAAGTCCACATCAGTGTCTCGTTAATATCTTTGCACCGTCTAGCATAATAACAGTTCAGGCTGTAAAAACCTGATCTTAAGTCTCTGTCCAGCCCTGCAGGAGAAGAAGAAAAACACACGACTCATTTACATATGTTTACATCATCAGTGGCTCTAAAACAAAATGCATGACAACAGCTAAACACAAACATACAATCTCCAGCAGATATGTGATTTAATAGTTAACCCTGTGTAGTAATTTTACATCACGTTATTTTTCTAGCATCACTGTCTGCAGTGTGAATGATAAAACTACAGAGACCTGCTGAGAGCACCTTACGGGAAGGTGCAGAGGAATGTACATTATAGTTTATGTTGTAGGGATGATGTCACGGACAAACACAGATGTGGGGAGATGAAGAGGGACTGGATGATTTCAGCTAATTAATAATGATGTCATTCCCTTCGTTCTAAATAATTTATGTGGAAACCAGCTCCCACTCAAACTCGACAGTATTTCTAATCACCTGCACAGATTGGTTTAACTCTGAGGTCTGTATCACAAAGCAAGTTTAACTTAGTCTGTTCAGGTTATCTGGTTTAACTGAGCCTCACACGGGTAATCCTGGATAACCGGTGTTTACTAATCCAGCCTGGAGTGAGTTTGTTTAACCGTATTTACACATCAAAGTACAGGTATTTAAGAGTATTAAAATATGAAGACAGTTGTCAAGACTCCTTTGCTAACAGCTGGTTTGGTCAAAGGTACAAGATTAAATTGAAAAAATCCAGAGGGGTGGAGTTAGAAAGAAGTGAGTTTACCAGACCTGTGTAGCCCGCTCCTCATCTCTGCCTGACACTAGCAGCTCCAGGCTACACAAGCTGCTAGCATAACACACCTGCATCTCCACAGTAACTCTCTGCAGTTGCACTGTGGGTAATGTAGGCGGCAGGTTCTGGCAAAGAGAAAAATGTTGGGGTGCTTTAGTATTTCACTGGGTAGAGCATGTAGCATTAAGGCTAAGTCCTGACTGCAGCAGCCGGGATTCAGGTCTGGGCTCTTGGCTGCATGTTATCCACAAAAACGTCAATCAAGAGCCTGACAACATTTCTAGGAATGCAAAGCTAAATCAGTGGAGTACTCTTTAAGCAAAATCATAAAAACCGTTAGAGGAAATTCTTAATATGATGAGAGCTGAAACAATAATAATCTGCAGGTAGATGAGGTCGCTGCAGCAGCAAAATATAATCATGAAATACACACGTGTAATCACACAACTCGAAAAGCTGTGAAAAAAATGAGCAATAAAGTGACGTTAATGTTATAAATACATGTGACAATTTTCAAAGGATGCAACTCACAATCATTTTGTTATTATCAATTAATCTGCCTTTTTTTAAACAACAAAAATAATTAATCCCTTTAGATTATCAACATAAAAAAGAGTTAAGAACCATCATAACTTCCACGGAGGCCGGGGTGAAATCTTCAAGTTTTGTTCAACCACAAGTCCTAAACCCAAAGAAATTCAGTTTATTACTATGCTGTTAAGATGCGAATACTTTTTCACAATATTTTTGCTTGGAAGAATGACTAAAACTGTTAATTAATTTTTTTACACCACAAATTCTCATTTAGGATTTCAAAATACGGTCGCCATTTTCAACAATATTTTTTGTTTAGCCTGAAGCAAGTATATTTATTTCCTAAAGTGACATTTTAGTGCCTTTTTGTCTCATAATGACGAAACAATTATGAATAAGAGAAACCATTTCAAAGGAGTTTAAAGAAGGTACAACAGAGAGGGAAAGTACTGACAGTCAAAAACAGGGCTGAAATAAAGAATGGTAAACACAGACTATATTTACAGTATATAGGTACACAGCTAGGCAGCTTTCGATCGTTGATTTAGAATATGAATGTCATGCATGAAGCTTTGAACTATTCAGTGCAGCCATAATTTCTCAGCCTAGATAACAAAACATAGTTCAAAGTCTGGTTACTTCTCACTGGAAGTTTTAAAAGCAAACTCCATGACAGTATCATCAGATTGTCTTAGAAAATTATGATATAAACACTGACTACATTTATCAAATTATTAAAATTTCCACTGACTAAATCTTGACTAAAATAAAACAACTAAAACATGGATTAAGTGATGAAGACTAAACCTAAAATTCTTGTCATAATCAACACTGGTAACGATAGCAATCAAACCAAGTTAAAAGTGAGCCAGCTTTCTGATTTAAGTCATGCCCAAATTTAGATGACGACACTAATCTGTCTTTATGATACAGACCTCTGGTGCTGCTGTCGAATTCTGTGCAGACACACAAACGCAAACAAGCAGCAACCAAACATTATTATCGTTATCTTAAAAAACAAAACAATAAAACATCCAGCAGTTAATTCTACATCACATTTGGCATCACGGAGAGAAGGTTATCCTCTGACTACGAAAGCAAGAAGTTGATTTCAGCGGATCGTTTCGTTCTTTTAAACTAAACTGAAAAAATATCACATTATTCTAACTTTGTGGTAAAAAAAAAAAAGTGGGAAAAAGGAAAGATGGGAAATAATTCTTCATATTGAGAGCGAACATGCACAGTGTGTAAAGCTTATACAAGGAGAACAAAACATTAAAACACAGTATAACACATCGCAGTATGATGCTGTCCAATACCACAGCCCTGCAACTCGTACTCCTGTGTGAGGTTTGCAAAGGTAACTTTTCATTTCAGATGGTTACTTTTATGGCTGATGATTGTGCAGTTGCATCGGACTGCATTATACTGGAATGTTTTTGATTTCTTTTGTTCACCCACTGTATTCATGTCTGCCATAAAAGTCTCCTCAGCCTCCCCAAAGTGCAAAAACAGAAACATGTTCCCTGAACTTTTGACGTAGGAGATAAATTTAAATGTGTATTTACCAGAGCACTTATAGAAAATATACCTGTGGTTTGGCTCATACGTGAAACTATGAAAGCACTCACAAATCTTTTCAGCCACTCTGATCCAACGCTGCTCGGTTACAGCATCTTACGTGAGGTTGTGATTGCCAAACCTGTAATAATCCTTTACAATAATCTCATACAAAATGAGCGTTTCTGAGATATTGCAACAGATCTACGCTTCACTTCCAGCCAGCTCTGGGAAAGCAGCGAGCGAGGGAGGTGGGGCAACAGCAGGTCCCTGATCGCTCACAGGAGGGCAGCCTCACCCAGAGAGAGGACAGGGAGAGGGAAGTTGAGAGAGAGAGAGAGAAAGAGAGAGAGAGAGAAAGAGAGAGAGAGAGAGAGAGAGCAAGAGAGAGAAAGAGAGAGAGGGGGGGTCTATTCCCTGAAACATAAACCGCCAACGAGCTCTGACTCGGCACAACTGTTGGCCTCGCTCTGCTTTGCTTGGGGTCGTGACAAATAAAATAAACAAAGTGTGCCAGACCTCATGAGAGGGATTTAACAGCTCAGTGTTTGAGACACACACTGCATGCAGAGGGCGGTTAGATGTGAGGATGATAGCAGTACAGATTGCATAGAATTAACAGTTAAATATCTTCCGGGAGTTTTTAGCTTCGAGGTGCAGCTGTCTGGTCCGCATGCTGTAACCTACGCGGCTCATGTACGACCTCTCTGCTACGTCACGCCCAGGAGGACAATCCGGTTGTGTTGTTGTGATGACTGTGAAAATGTACAGGTCTTATAAATAAAAGCAGAGGCAGCGTCGAGGGCGACGACAGCAACGTGCATGTGTGCAACTGAGTGTGTTCTGACAAGTGTTAGCAGCATGCTAGGCTACGGTGGGTGAGCTCTACAGCGCAGCCAGCTGTTTGCAGGGCTTCACAAGTCCGGTCCACGCGCTCCGCTCATCCACTGAGGGGATGCAAATCAACCTTGACCTTCTCTCCGCTGCTCAGCATCCCCACAGTTGGGTAGAGTCCGCCAGGAGGAACCCCCATCTCCCTTCGACCCATCAGCTTCCCGTTCCTCGTGAAGAACACCTGCAGGACCACAGGGGGGCAACAGCAAGTTAAAACACACATTTCACTGTTGGTAAATCCACTGATGGAACAATTACTCATAAAAGAAATGTCTTTTCATAATGACTGATAGTAACACAAACTTCATTTTTGAGCACACAGTGTGCCAGCTGTAAACAGGAATTGCAGTTAGGAAATATCGTTAAACAAATAGGTGACAGTATAATGTCTGTGTTCTTGGAGCAGGAAAAAAGTCAATGTTTACAGAACATGTCTCTACTAAATCAGCGAATGATCAAACATTATCCAGCTGTTCTCAAAAGAACATCAACAAGCTTTTCAATGCTAATACCAAGGGCCTCTTTCCAAGTCTGAGAGCAAATACCGACACACTAAAACAACAAGTGAAGTACTGTGGAGTGTGTGCATTCAAAAAAAATCAGGCTGAGTCACTTATCAAACATTTACTGTACCACCCACCCGAAAAAAAAAGAAAGGCTTAACCGCTATTCAATTACAGATGAAGGGCGAGTGAAACTGCAACAGGCTTCATTAGTTTGAACAACACCGACACCCCCCACACACGCCTGCACACACGTGCAGCCAAGCCCACAGAGACCGCTGTGATGTCAGCGAGCAGTGCATTGAGGGTAATATGTCCTGCTGAATAAATATTGACAAATCCCTGGATTACGGCACAGCCTGTTCTATTCTCACCCACTTCGGTTTCAGTACCGCGTGCACTCACACCCGCTCGGTGACCCCCACCCTGGCCTCGACTTGCACAACTGTGTGGGCACGTTAGCCTGGCAGCTATGAGTCAAGACAAAGTGCAACCCGCAGTAATTAAAGCAACAAACAAACAAACAGTTGGAACATGAAGTGGTCAGATGAAGAGAGTGTAAAGTGACTTCCTGGACGTACGTTACAGCGAGAGGTGGACTGACATATAAAAGGTCACAGTGATGATACACCAGAATATGAAAGTATCTTTGTGATGCAAATTGCTGAGCTTTCTGGTCTTTTGAACAATATCAAAAAACTGCTGTATTCACAGACGGGTACACTTTATTTATTTATCTATTTATTTTTAAGGTTTTACTATCACTCTGCAGTTTCCCAGTAATGTTTCTCATGTATTCAAATCCAAACATTCACATTTTGGTCAAACTAAATGTTTTAGCATCAAAAATGTTATTTCACAAGCCCCGCTGAAAACGTTCTCCCATGTGACCTGACGTAGGTTTCTGCATGATGACGTTGTACATATAAACCACCCTGATGTGACTCTTTGTGACTGAGCCAAGCCTTCTTCAGGAATTCTGTGTAATCGATCTTCCAAATTAGCTTTAATCCTCTCAAGGCCAAAACACACCAAACTGACCTCAGAAAATTAGCAGTAACGAAAGCCTTCTGCAGTGTCAACTCATGTCACCTGCGTCTCAACCACAAAGATGCACATGAACACACTGCAAAGAATACAACCAACGGCCAGTTACCACGTATGTTTGTGCCTGCATGAGGGGAATACACTTCCACTCCAGCACACAGCGGTCGTCTGTAATCATCATTCAAAGAGAGACTGGAAGAACGTCTTGACCCTAGTCAGCCAGTTTACACATCAACAACACAACCCAATGTTGACAGAACAAAGCATATTTACCTTACGCCCGTGAACAATAACACAAACCGTCAGGAAACGTTTCTGCTAAAGAAAAATAATCTTACTTAATGTCATAAGTTTGTTCCAATATCACTCCCTCCTGACTTTGGGCCTTTGTTTACTGTCCTGACTTCCGTTTCTCTTGTTGTGCGCTGAACTAAACTGCCAATCATAGATAGGCTCTGCCGATACCCTGACATGCTGAATCAGTGGGAAAAGGCTGACTAGTGCCGACAAGGGCCAACAGTGCGGAACACACCGCACCAACTTGGGCAAGGGAAGCTCACCGATGGCCAAACATTGACCAACAGCCAACTGTCAGCTTGATGCGTCAGGGCTTTAACTCCCTAACTGGAACAGAAGCTAATCAACGCAAAGTGGTGGATGCCAGGTAGGTTTGGATCTAAAAGTCACACAGCACTCAAACACACTGACACAGTGGTAGAGGGTCATGGGAGGATGCGAATGAAGCAATATTACATCAATTGGCCAAAGGGGGGCACTATAGCAACCGATTGAAATTGCAAACTTTGAATGGGCATATCTCATGCCCCGTATGTCGTAGAGACATGAAACTTTGCACAGAGATGCCTCTCCTCATGAGGAACACATTTGCCTCAAGAACCCATAACTTCCGGTTATATAGATTTTCCGCCATTTTGAATTTTTTGAAAAACACTTCAAATGGATCTCTTCCTAGGAAGTTTGAGCGATCTGCATGAAACTGGGTGAACATAATCTAGGGACCAATATCTAAAGTTCCCTCTTGGCAAAAGTTGGAAAACTTACTAAAACTGAGCTTCTATAAGGCAATGAATATTGCGGAGGGCGTGGCTCATCACATAAAGGTGTATAACATCTCAAGGGTTTCACCCATCACCACGCAACTTTGTAGGCATATGACCACACATAATCTGAGGGGACCCCTCCATTATTGACCCCATCAAACAAAATGGGGGCGCTAGAGAGCTCATTTCTTATCTAGGCCTAACCGCCATATGGATTTTTACTAAACTTGGTAGATATGTAGAACAGGACGCCTCAAGGTGACTGGAGAAATTTAACTCTAATTGGCAACTGGGTGGCGCTATAACAACAGAAAAATGCTTAACAATGGCTAAAATGCGACCGATCACTGTGGCGCCCCCTGTGGACCAATGTTTTGGTTTTTTCTAATTTTTGGTTTTTGGTTGATTTTCTAAGTCATGGTATGGTATGCTGTACATAATCATGGAAACTGTCAGTGTGTCATTCTGTCAGTCAGTCATTCTGTCTGTCCCACGATTTTCTACTCACTGACGTGGTCAATCTATGTGAAACTGCACATAGGCATTGAGGACTGGCATAGGTAGAAGGTGACAGAGCTACCAATGGGTATGGACTAGTTATTGTTATTATTATTATCAGCGCTGGCTGCTGCACTTGATTTAAAAGACTGAATGACAAAATAATCAGTAGATTAATCAGCTGCAGCCCCACTGTGAAGCATTTCTGTATGTCTCCCTTTGTTTACAGTATGTATATCTCCATATGTATGTACAGTATTTCTAACCTCCGGTGTATTAAAATATTTGTAGGACAGTGACTGGAAAAAATAATTTGTGTAATTGTGACCAAAACACTTTAAAAAAACTGCAGTGAATTGATCCAAGTGTAAACTGTGAATTCAAAGCCTGATACAGTATATCTCATTTCTCTGTGTGAAAAGCGCCATTGTTGTCAAAAATCTATTAAAAATACATAAATGAGAAACACTGATGAACTGGTTTACCCGATTAAACTCAGTAAACATCTGCTTAATCAATATCTTTATATTTGAAATGGATTAAATGACTGTGTGTAATGTGAAGGGAGACAAATGTCACCAACACTTCAGTGTCTTCGAGCTCGCTGCTTTGGTTTAAACAATGTTAAAGCTTGTTTCATTCTCACTGCTTTCATTAACCCATCATGACCCAGCTATCACCTGCTGGTGAGCTAATCTGTTAGCATGTTTACTGCTGACTCACCACTATTAGCTGAAAACTATCACAGTGTTATCTCACTGAACATACTGGCTGTGAGTTCGAGGTTCGCTGAGATTTTCTACTGTGTCATTTTCAGTGACAGTACAGACGTTCTAAAAACCTCACTCAACACGACTTATCTCAGCACCAGATAACAGAGACACAGAGAGACCAGCTTGTGAACACGATGTCGCATCTAGCAGCTAAAGAGACAGATATTTCCCTCAGGAGCTGGTGGAGCTACAGTGAGAGAAAATAACTGTCACATTCATCAGGTGGCCACAAACATGACTCTAAATTAATGATAATGCTGCTCTGTCTCTGTCTCTGCTGGATGTGTAAATCAGCATCTGTTTGCCAACACGTTCACCACACAAAAATTAAAAGGTGATGACATGTCAGTGTTTACAGCATAGATATAGAAACGTACATACCTCACTGGCCGCTGGATTGTGCGTCAACGGCGACACCATATTTGAGAGTGCAAGACATGCCTATAACCAAAGTCAAGTAACAGGGGAGCTGCCGTGTTTCTGAATGAAAAGCACTATAAAGTTTATATTTGTCGACCAATTCCAATAAGTTGTTTTTATATTCAAGGGTTTATGATGTATGTGCAGTAGTTAAACAGAATCTCAATATTTAGGCTCTAACTGCTGCTGGATGCTCAATAGAGGAGTGTGTGTTCCACTTACATGAACTGAATTATTTACATGGTATAAAATAATTCCTTGTCTTAGGGAATTTTAAATTCTCATGTCTGTCAATCATGGATTTGGCTTATTGTCCTTGGTTAATACTTGAGGAGACATCCCTATATAATATAGTGTGGAAGTAGACAACATATTAACTTGCAAGCATGCTAGTTAGTTAACACTGTCCTCTTATTATTCCACTGATCATAACAGAATATCGTAACCTTCACCACCGCTCTTTTTTAAAAGACCAAGGCAAGAAAACCTGCTCTTTGTTTATGTTATTTAAGATGCGTTTAGAGTGGTTCCTCTCCATCCAGGCAAAATGAAAGGAAAGTGAAAGGCTCGCTAGCATTAGTGCGCTAGCTACGTTAGCTTTGACTGATCGCTAATATTCGGAAACAAACATATATGATCCACTGGCCCTTTGATAATCCAAACAAAGAACAAGCTATCTTGTGGTGGCCTTTCTAAAATCAGTAATGGTGAAAGTTACAATATTCTGTTATAATCAAGGATTTGATGAGTATAAAGCGTTAACTAGCAAGATGATAGGTTGTCTAACGTTACTTTCACATTAAAATATATTATATCGGGATGTTCCCACAAGTATTTAACTAATGAAAATAAGCCGAATCCATGCTTGACAGACATGAG